TTCCCCGGTACTCGTTGGTCTCACTTCCTTCTTAAATCTGTACACAGACAAGCCTTGGATTCACTGTATCCTTGCGATCCTCCGACTTTGAGTTCTGCTGTCTCTCATGTGCTGACATCAGCATTGTGTGCCACAGAGCTTGGCTGTCTGTTTGCTGCTGCATCCCCAGTCCCCAGCCACAAAGCATGGCCTACACATGTCCAGGGCAGCACAGACGGGCTGGGGTGCCCAAAAGATGGTCTTGTTGTGTCAGTGTCAATTGAGGGGAGGCCCCGCACTGGAGATCGCGTAATAGGCAGGGATGATGACAGAGCCCCAGAGGAGCCGTTCCTGGTGGGCCTGTAGGCCCGTGCCTACCAGCCTCAACCTCCACAGGTGCCACCTGCTCCTGTCAACAAGGACGATTTTGTGCTGGTGCAGCGGCCTGGCCCAGGCTTGTCTCAGGAGGCTGTGCGTCGCTATGGGGAACTTACCAAGCTTCTGAAACAGCAACATGAAGTAAGGCCCCACCAATGACCCTGTCCCTGTCCCCTGTGCTGGCCTCCTGCCCTCACTCTCACCCTCCACTTCTCTCCCTGCAGATGTGTCTAAACCACTCCACACAGTTCACCCACCTGGGCAACATTGCTGAAACCATTAAGTAAGTGCCACCTCGCTGGGACCAGCACTGCCAGTCCTGCTGGCCAGGGTCCTGAGCAATGCCTTCTTGACAGGTTCGAGAAGCTGGCGGAGGACTGTAAGCGGAGTATGGACACCTTAAAACAAGCCTTCGCCCGCAGTCTGCCCACACCTGCAGCCCGCTTTGAGCAAAGGACCTTCAGTGTCATCAAGTAGGGCCCAAGCCCTTGGCTGGGGTGATGCTGGGAGGGAGTGACACCCTGGAACTGTCACAGGACTTGATTGTGACCAAGAGTGAATGCATGGTGGGAGCACAGGCATCTGAAGGCTCTGGGCAGGCACGGGCTGCTGTATTGACTAGGCCGTGCTGACACTTGACAGATACTCAGAAAAGAACTAGTAAATGAAAGGAAGATTAGGGTGGGTGGCTCAGTTGTTAGAATTCGTGTCCAGCAATGCGTGAGATCCTGGGTTCCAGGACTTCATAAACCAGATCCCAGCCCTGAGGAAGTGGAGGCAGGAGGATCAGAAATTCAGGACCAGCCTTTGTGCATGAGTTTGAGGCCAGCCCATGCATGCTACATGAGACTTTGCCTCAAAAGTAAAGGATCCTCTAGCAACTAGAGTCTTGGCTGACACTTAGTAGGACTCCAAGAATATAGAGTAAAGAGCAGATGCTACCAAGTACACAGTAGATTCTCAGATAAAACTGGCAAGTAAGGGCCAGGGAAACAGGTCTGCAAGGAAAGGGACATGTGTGTTCACACGCGCACACAGGACACACAGAAGCAGATAGAAGTAGGTACCATATAAACATGAGCACTGAACAGGGAGCCCAGTGGTCAGGCAAGGGAATGCCTGACTCTGCAGCCTGATGGTGAGACCTGGAGGGTCCCTACTCACTGAGGGAAGTGATAGCTCCAGGCTGGGGCTGAGGCGCCTGCCTCTGTTTCCCTGCCTACTGAAAGGATCTTCCCGGACTTGAGCAACAACGACATGCTCCTGTTTATTGTGAAGGGCATCAACTTGCCCACACCCACAGGTGAGGAGGCAGCCCTGAGGCAAGGGTGGGCTGCTCTCTCTACCTAGGTCTGACCCTTGTCTACCCACAGGGATGTCCCCCAGTGACCTGGATGCCTTTGTCCGCTTCGACTTCCCTTACCCTAATGTGGTAGGTACAGTTTTTAAGTGGGTGTGTGGACCAAGAAGCCAGGCAGTGGAAGTCCACATCTGGCCTGCGTCCTGATCATTCCCGCCTCCTCCCTGATACAGGAAGAAGCTCAGAAAGACAAGACCAGTGTGATCAAAAACACAGACTCCCCTGGTGAGTCACCTTGTCTTCTGCAGAGGATCACCCAAAACTAGAGCCACAGTGGGAATCTACCTCAGAGGTGTTCCCTAGCATGCACAAGCCATGGGCTCCCAACCCCAGCCCCTCAAAAAAAAAAAAGACAAGGACTGAGAGAGGAGAAGACGGGTCAGGGGGTGAAGCAACCGCAGGACAAGCAGAAGGGCATGAATTTGAACCCCCAGACCTGACTTAGAACCAGCACAGCAGCCTGGCTCTGCAGCCCCACACTCCTACAGTAAGAAGACAGGAGCTTGTGGGCCGTGAGGTGCATGGCAACCAGTGAGACCTTGTCTCAGACAAGGTGGAAGGTGCAGACTGACACCCGAGGGTGTGCTGTAACCCCCTCGTGAACATGCATACACGGCACACACACACAAAAGAAAAGCCAGTGCACATTCCCACCCCAGCTGCTTCCCTCTCCCCTCCTCTCCTGCGCAGAGTTCAAGGAACAGTTCAAACTCTGCATCAACCGCGGCCACCGCGGCTTCCGAAGGGCCATCCAGACCAAGGGCATCAAGTTCGAAGTGGTCCACAAGGGGTGAGCCGGGGATCACAGGTTCCGGACTCCAGGGGAGTGGAGCAGTAAGCTAACCGTCACACCTTTGTCCACACAGGGGGTTGTTCAAGACGGACAGGGTGCTAGGGACAGCCCAGCTGAAGCTGGATATGTTGGAAACAACTTGTGAAGTCCATGAGATCCTGGAGGTAAGCTGGCACTTGCAAACTTTGAGTACTCTGGTGTGTTTCTGGAGTTGTCCCTGGCATCCTCGGGGCCGCTGTTGAGGATGCTGTGTTTGCCCACACCAGTACATATTTCTACCTAGGTTTTGGATGGCCGCCGGCCCACAGGGGGGCGGCTTGAGGTCATGGTCCGCATCCGGGAGCCACTGACGGCCCAGCAGTTGGAGACTACAACCGAGAGGTGGCTAGTCATTGATCACATCCCGACAGCTGTGCCCACCGTGAGTCCCTCCCTCTCAGTCACCTCTGGGAGTGGGGCTAGGGTCGGGGACTCCGGACTCATTGGACTGACTCTATGAAAACAGGTCACTGGACCCAAAGCAAAGGTTCCTCTCATACCTGTGTCTTCAAGGGAAGCAGGCAACAGGTAGGTCTGGGCTGTGCCGCACGAGTCCTCGTGTAGTCTCCATCAGCCACCCGGACGGAGCATAGCCCTCCTGACTCAGAGCCGTGCTTGACACCCTTCTCCGGGGGAATTCAGTTTACAAGCCTCCATTTGACCTTTAAGACCTTTTGTGATCTGACCATTGTCAACATATCCAGCCTTCTGTCTTCACTCTTGTCCTTTCTTCTGTCTCTGTTCCTCACTGATGTCCCCTGCCTCCCCTTACTGAGTGCTGGGTTGACAGGCAGACCCCAGAACCTCCAATATCAGGTCTTCCCTTCCTGGTCTCTGGATGTCTTGAGGCCTGAGATTCCCATAGCCCCACCCATCCTGTGCCTCTGCCCACTGACTCCTCCTTTGGATGCCCACTTCCCTGTAGCCCTTCACCCCCCTCTCCACCCTGCAGATCAGCAAGGCCCCTGCATAGCCTTAGTGTGCTGGCCTTTGACCAAGAGCGGCTAGAAAGGAAGGTAGGCGCCTGCCCTGCTGGGCTCAGTGGGATGGGCTGTAGGGTTGGGCTCCAGATTGGCTCATAGCCCCCTTTGTACCCTCCAGATCCTGGCCCTGAGGCAGGCACGCCGGCCTGTGCCTCCAGAAGTGGCCCAGCAGTACCAGGACGTAGTACAGCGGAGCCAATGGCAGAGGGCACAGCTGGAGCAGGGGGGTGCTGCCTTCCGCAGGGGTAAGGGCAGAAATGGGGCTGGGAAAGAGAGTGTATCTGGTGAGGGAAGGACTGTAGAAGGGTGTGTCTGGAGAGGGAGGGTCAAGAAAGGGCTGAAGAGAGGCCTGTCTGGTAAGGAGTGTGTACAGTGGGCAGGGAATGGAGAATCCCCATTGTATGGGCAATAGAAGTGGGAGAGCAGCCCCCTGGCCCTGACCCCCACTTCCACTTCTCAAGAGTATGCAAGCCATCTGGAGCGCCAGCTGCACTTCTACACAGAGGCTGCCCGGCGCCTGGGCTATGACGGAAGCAGGGTAAGCTGGACCTGTGTGGTGCATACTGAGTCAGAGGGCCAGGGCCATCCTAGACTGTCAACCGATCACCTCTTCCCCTAGGAGGCTGCGAAGGAGGCATTGTACCGGCGGAACCTGGTGGAGAGCGAGGTAAGTGGCTACAGAGGTGGGGGTCATATGCAGGGGTTGGTTCCCTGACCCCTCCCTCGTGTCTCCCCAGCTGCAGCGACTCCGCAGGTGAGGCCCATCCTGGACTACAGACCCCACAGCCCAACTCCAGGCCAAGCTCCAGGCCACCGAACAGACAAGCAGACAATCAGCGGACAGTTGGTTCTGGACTCACCCTGTCCAGGCCCCCAGCCCCAGGGGCATTGGGACAGCACTGTCACCCCAGCCTGGCTGGTTGGGCCTTGGAGAGTCCTGTTTGCACATCCAGGAGCATCTGGAGCAAGGAGGGTAGCTGGGACAAGCCCAGAGGACCCTGCAAGCACTTTACTTCCTGTCCCTCCCATTGTTAACCCCACAGCCCTCTCCAAAGATACCTCTGAGGCTGTCAAGCCCAGCTGACTCCCTAGGGACTGTGCTGACCCAGCTGCTCCCTCCCTCCCAGGGCCAACACAGAATGAACAGCCAAGGCCACACCTGCCTCAGCTTTGTCTTTTTTCCTTGATGTGCCCCTTACCCCACCCTCCCAGTGGCTGGCTTAGGCCTCCCCACTCAATCCAGTTCCCTGGAAAGGCCTGGGTGAGCCCGTGGCTTGGGTCTTTCCGGCGTACACAGTAAGGCTGGGCCCTGCAGGACACTACTTGGTGGCCCATGTGTCTGCCTTAGGTCTCCCACACCATTCACAGCCCATGACCAAACTGACTGACTTCCTGTCCTAGAGCTTTGTCTCCCACGTAGGGATGTGCGGAAGAGATGGGTCGGTCCCATTGGGCACTGAGTCCCCTGTGAACATGAGAGGGCACCAGCTTTATTCCCCATTGTCATCTGTGGCGGAGGGTGTAGGCAGCACTAGGAAGGTTCAAGTCAGCAAGCTTCCTGCTTTAGCCCCAACCCCTCCCATAGGAGGCACCTGCTAGTGGTTGGCCAGCTCTGGGCAGGACAGGCTCAGCCTCTAAAGCCCCAGCTGAGAACTTTCTTAGTCCACAGTCCATCAGAGCTCAGGCCAGGGCTATTTGGCACCCCCCCCCCCAAGGGTTCAGGGCTCCTTGCCCTTGTGTGGCAACTGGACCAGGACCTGCTCCGGGTTTTCTGCAGTGTCTACCACACGTAGGTATGCAAGCCCCTGGAAGGCCTCGGCTGCAATGCTTGTCATATGAAGCCTGTTAGCCCTGTGCAGAGAGGTGGGGACGTTAGGGCGGTGTCAGGAGAGCTACTGTCATCATCCTGACTCCCCTGCCCCTCACCTGAGAAAGAGGGCACGCAGGCGGGGGGTGCTGAGGAAGGCCTCTGGACCCACATGACTGATACGGTTAGCCTGCAGGTGTAGCTCCTCCAGGGCCTCAGGCAGATCAGGGGGCACAAAAGACAGCTCATTGTGACTCAAGTCCAGAACCTGACAGGCACACAACAGGATGGCAGGCTCAGGGGCCTGCAAACTAAGAGCTTCCAGCCCCTCTCTCCAGTCTTCTGCCTCTCCCCTGCCTCAGCGGCGCAGGCCTCCTCCAGATTCTCGTTCAATAGTGGTTACCAGATCCCTTCACTCCATAGAGATCAACCGAGCCTTATCTTACCAATGGGCAGGGTGTATAGGTAGAAGTCTGCCTGCCTGATTCAGCAAGACAAGGATGAGAAGGTGGTCCCTCACATCCTCACTCACGCCCTTTGTTTTCTCTTTCCTTCCATTCCCTCCCCCACCTTTTTTCTTTCAGTAGCCTCAGCTGGCTTCAAATTCAAGCCTTCTACCTCAGCCTCTCCTATGCGGTGCAGCCCGCCCTGTCCCCACACCTGGCTCTGGTCCTCACCAGCTACCACACTGTTACCTTCTGTGATCACCCAGATGGCCTCTAACTAGGATGTTTGGGGTCAGAGAGGGATAAAGCCCTGTCTTGTGCCCAGCTGGGTTGCCAGAGCCCAGAGGCCACAGTCGTTGAGTAGAATGGAGAAGTGCTCAGAATTCAGCTGGGGACTTAACAGCAACAGCCTGAACAGGGTCTGTTCCAACCATCTCAGGCTGCCCACTCGGGACGCTCTGGGATGCCCTGGCTCAGAGCTAGGCCAACGGTGGGATAGAGAAGGCCACATTGTAGTTAGACCCCTGACCTGCAGTGCCTGCAGCTCGTGCCAGGTGCCAGGCTCAATGTCGCCCACGCGGAGCCGGTTGTGCGCCAAGCTCAGCTCCTGCAACTTATTCAGGCCGGTGAGCTGCTCTGGCTCCAGGGTCCGCAGTTGGTTGCGTTGTAGTCTCAGCGAGCGCAAACTGGCCGGCAGGCCCTCGGGCAGCCGGGTCAACTGGTTACCGGCCAGGTCCAGGCTGCGCAAGGCGCGCAGGCGGCGGAAGGCGCCGGGATGCAAGTGTGCGCTGGTCAGGCGGTTGTAGGCCAGGTTGAGCTCGACCAAGGCTCGCGCTGAGACCAGATCCCGCGCACCCAGCGTGGCCACGCGGTTGTGGGGCATCACCAGGGCCTGCAAGCGGCGGGGCAATGAGGGAGGCACATGCTCCAGCCTGTTGCCATAGAGGTGCAATGTGTGCAGGGCTCGCAGAGGCCTCAGCGTCCCCGCGGGCAGCGCCGAGGCCCCCAGCTTATTGTGCTGCAGCAGCAGGTAGCGCAGACCCCTTGCTCTGTGCAGCCTTACAGCGTCCACATGCTGGATGCAGTTGCGACCCAGGTGTAATATGGTCAGAGTTCCCGGCAGACCCTCGGGTACTGTGGCCAGCTGGTTGTGGGACAGGTCCAGGTACTCAAGACTGCTCAGCTTGCTGATGGGAGAGAGGAGTGACAGAATGGTCACTTCAAGAAAGAGATCCCGTAGATCTTACCAGAAAGGAAAAGGAATGGTTTTAGGACTCCTTTAAACTGGAGATTTCACATTGAAAGTGATGTAGCGGGCTGGAGAGATGGCTCAGTGGTTAAGAGCACTGACTGCACTTCCAGAGGTCCTGAGTTCAAATCCCAGCAACCACATGGTGGCTCACAACCATCTGTAATGAGATCTGATGCCCTCTTCTGGTGTGTCTGAAGACAGCTATAGTGTATTCATAAATAATAAATAAATAAATCTTTAAAAAAAAAAAAAAAGAAAGTGATGTAGCAACAAAGCTGGGTTGATATGATATAGAAGAACTGCATATGGCAGCCCAGAATGGCCATGGATAGACGTATAGAATCCCAGAATTCATGAAGGGGAGATAAGAAGATTGTGAGTTCCACGCCAGCTAGAATCTTAAAAAAAAAAAAAAAAAAAAATTAGGGCCGGGCTGGAGAAATGGCTCAGCAGTAAAGAGCACTGGCTACTCCTCCAGAGGCCCAGGGTTCACTTCCCAGGACCCACATCACTGCTGTCAAGCAGGAGGTCGCTGGTCAATGTCCTCTTACAGCCTTCAGGTACTGCACACATGGTACACAGACATCCATCAGACACAAACATTCATGAACATAAGTAAACTAAGCTGAGAGTTGTGGTTTTCATCCTCAGCCCCAGCAATTAAGAGGCAGAGGCAGGCAGAGCTGAATGAGTTGGAGGCCAGTCTGGTCTACATAAATCCAGGGCACCCATGGCTACCTAGAGAGACCCTGTCATAGAAACAAAACAAAAAACTGGGGTGGGGGTGGGGGGAGGTGCACACCTTTAATCCCTTCAATCTGGAGGGAAATCACTCTGAAGACAGGCAGAGACAGGCCCATCTCTGAGTTTGAGCCCAGCCTGGTCTGCAAAGTGAGTTCTAGGACAACCAAGGCTACAGAGAAATCCTTTCTTGATAAACCATAACAAACAAATCAAAACCCATAAGCGCTGAGGTTCAGCTCAGAGCTCCTGTTTACCTGTTGAGAATGCTGTAGGGAGGTACTGAGGTGTGGCCAGATGGTAAACTTGTTTTGTTTCCTGGAATATGTGAGAACCTGGACTTTATCTCTCTACCACAAAACCCCTAACTATTGGGTAATAGAACCTCAAGAAAAGGCAGCAGGGGACAAGGACACCTGTCAAACATGATGGCAGCATATAATAACACCTTTTATGCCAGGCGGGGCAACTGGATGTGCACTAGGTACTCACTAAATGAAGTGCTGGATCCTATAGGAGGGGGATACCAAGCACAGGGCTACAGAGTACCTACCTGAAGGTCGCTGCATCCAGGCCACTGTCTGTCAACTTATTATGCTGGAGATACAGCTCACGGAGCTGGGTCTGGAGGCTAAGTGCTCCTCTGGGCACCTTGGAGATAAGATTGTTCTGCAGAAGGGAGACGAGAAAGAGATAGAGGGTCATGGACAGCCAGGGAAGCCACAGAAGGCTCTCGAGTAAGAGCACGGCTGAGAGCTTGCCTTGTCTGTGCAAACGAGTGGAAGGGTTTTTTTTTGTTTTGTTTTTTGTTTTTTGTTTGTTTGTTTGTTTGTTTGATGATTCTAATATCTAGAATTCTGGGAAGCAGTTGAAAGGATGGGAAAGGGTCTGGAAAGATGGCTCGTCCAGAGATCCTGAGTTCAATTCTCAGCAACCACATGGTGGCTCACAACCATCTGTAATGTGATCTGATGCCCTCTTCTGGCCTACAGGTATACATGCAGATAGAGCACTCATACGTAAAATAATAAATCTTTAGGAAGGAAGGAAGGGAGGAAGGAAGGGAGGGAGGAAGGAAAGAAGAAAGGAAGGAAGAAAGGAAGGAAGAAAGGAAGGAAAATGAGCAGGTGGAGAACTCCTACAGGCTACAAGTAAGAGACCTAGGACCAGGCATGTGTGTGCTATAATAGGTAGGAACCCTACCTGCAGGTGGAGCCGCTCCAGGGAGGCTGGCAGGCTGGGTGGTAGGTAGCTGAGCTGGTTGCTGGAAAGACTTAAGGTGGTAATAGCCTCTGACCCATGGAAGGTGTTAGGTGGCAACCCAGTGTTCCTCAGTCTGTTGTTGTGGAGGTATACAGACCTGAGGAGAGCTGGGCTGCAGCCGCCAGCCTACGCATGTGCACACCACCCTCCCCCATGCTGTTGCCCCTCAACTCCAGCTGGGGTCACCAACAGCTCCTGTTTGAGAGTAAAAGACGTGTGGGTGGGTGTGTTTGTGCTTGTATGTGTCTGAGTGCATTCATACATGTGCGCATGTGTGAGTGTGTGTGTGTGTGTGTCTGTGTGTGTGTGATTGTTTAAGTAGGTGGCATCTGTCCTAGTCTTGATACAGCTAGACTTTTGATAAGAGGCTCTTTCTTACACAGCCGTAACCCTAAACTCCCTGTGCAGAGCTGAAGCCCCTTTGACCCCATTTTAGGGACATAGTCTCCCAAAATGAGCTAATGCCTCAGACCTCTCAAAACTGATCTGAGCTCTCTTTGACACCACCCCTCCCAGCACAGGGCAAGCCCCAGGATCTCCAGAACAGAGCCCAGCCTTTTCTTACTCCCCACCCCCACGGCACAGCTATGCCTCAGACCCGCCAAAACCGGGCTGCGCTCTGGTTCTCCTTTTGCAGGGCCATGTACATGCTCCCTGGGACAGGCCTGTTTCCCCTTGGCCTCTGGGAGCAGGATCCTGGAATCAAAGGCTGGGGGCGGAGCCAGGGGTAAGACTACCGGAGTGCAGGCTTCTCCCCAAAGGTGAGAGGAAAGATCTCCACCACTTCATTGGCAGCCAGATCGGCGACACGCAGGGAGCGTGGCAGGAACTGGGGCGCGACAGAAAGCTGCAAGGGCAACAGCAGCTGGTCCTGGTGCCCGGTTTCCTGCCCCCACCCCCACTTCGCGCTCACCGGGTGACTCCAACCAGGCTGTGACCTCTCAGGGATACAGGCTCACCTTGTTGTGGGCCACATAGAAGTTCTCTAGCTGGGTGAGAGACTCAAAGGCCTCATCAGGCAGGCCTGGGTGGGAGCACAGTGGGCAAAAGATGAGGGGACCAGCGTTCTAGCAACCCCATTCTTATGGCTAGGGACTAGCATAGATTCCTAGGCTCTCCCCCAACCCCCACATCCTGTCCTTACTCAAAAGCCACAGCCACCACCATCCCCCAGCCCTCGAAATTCCACCGTGCTCAGCAGTTGTGGAAACCCCCAAGAGCTGGCCACAACTGGCAAACAGCGGATGTGGAGAGGGGTTGGGACCTGGTTGTTCCCAGCTTGAGGCCCTCACCCTCTGAGGAGATGAGGTTGCTATGCAGGTCCAGGGTGCGCAAGCCACTGAGTCGAGATAGCTCGTTGTAGGGGAGCTCCTGAAGGTGGTTGTTCTGTGGGGTAAAGACATTCACACCAAGGCCTGTCTCTTGCTCCTCAACTTGTCACCTGGAGTTGTAGCCCAGTGGCAGAGTACTTGTTTAGCATCCACAAGGCAGGCCCTGGGTTCATCCCTAATATCTCCAGAGAGAAGAGGAAGAGGAGGAGAAAAGAAAATGTTCCATTCCTTGACCCCAAACAACCTTGAGACTTGGCAAGGCCTTTTACTGCACCACCCAACAAACCACATGATTACCCTGCGCCTGAAGCCACACGGGTTGCTGATTTTGAACCTGGTCTCTGACACTCCTCTAGCCTGCCCCAACACCCCACGCCCCCACACAGAGCCTCACTGTGCATTGAAGGATGGCCTCCGACTTGTGTCCTTAGTGCTGGGGCCACCACAACAGACTCTGATCTCAACCCAACACCCTTTTGCCCCAAACCATCCCAAAGTACTCCTGTGACCTCCAACATCACAGCTGTCGTCCCAGAACTTTGTAGCCCTGGCTGTATAGCTCTATAGACCTGGCTGGCCTTGAACCCACAGAGATCTGCCTTCCTCTGCCTCCCGAGTGCTGGAATTAAAAGTGAGTGCCACCACAATGCAGGTGAACTCAGTCTTTTGATGAAAACAACTTTACTCCTAAGATACCGACTCCAAACTCCGTTCTCTGGGTACACGATGCTTCTATGTCTGGCACTGGCCTGGCTTAGCAGACCCAGAGCAAGGCCAGGTTCAGCCCTGGCATGTGGACCGTCCACATGAACCCAGTGTGAGCCCTGTGCCTCCCTCTCAGATTCCCAGCCCTTACCTGCAAGGAGAGGTGCCTAGCAGCTCTGGGGACATTGTCTGGGAACACCCTCAGGTCCAGACCAGCACAGTCCACTGTGTCATCTCGGGGACAGGAGCAGCGCCAAGGACAGGGCCTTGGCAGGGGCTGTGAGCTGTCACCCAAGTGTGGGAAGGCAGGGTCCTCCATGTGTGCTGCTGGCCACCTCAATATCAGGAGCAACAGGACCAGCTCTTGAGACCTCTGGAGTAAAAAGGTGTCAGAAAGCCACCTGGTGATGAGTTCCCTTTTGCAGGGCAGGCTTAGCTACTTAGCCAGTGGGCAGAACCGGGCAAGGGATGGGCAGACCCGCCCTCAGACCCTCCCTGCCCTCCTTACCATAGTCAGCCCTGCTGTGCCTCGCGCCAAGCTCCTGTCCAGCATTCACTTCCTCCAATATCTGCTGTGACTACAGCTGCCCTCCATCTCTCGGCATAGAGCACACACACACACACACACACACACACACACACACACACACAGACCTATACCACAGGGCCTGGGAAGATGACTGCCCCTTTCCCCTCCCTGAAGAGGGCAGGCAGAGGGCTGGATCCGGTGGCAAGGCCCATCTAGCCCATCCCTCGTTCCCTGCCTGCTCCAATCACCTCAGCTCCTCTCTCAGAACCTCAGGCCGCCTGAACTGAGCCACAGCCTTGAGGAATGCTTGAGGAAAAGCTGAGATTCACCCTATCTGGTATTTGGTCTGACCACAGAGAGGAAGGGGGTGCCAATGACTGGGGCCGGCATTAGAGTCCCCAAGGAGACAAAGCCAGCCAGGACAGATCAAGGGACGGTTGGGCTTCTGTTCTCATGTCTGGCTCGCAGCCACTGCCCACTCCCCAAATAGTCATGACTCTTGAAAGGAAATTAATGTAAGGGAGGCAGAGGCTGGTGGCTGTCCATGTGACTGGGTGCCGGCCTGCCTGTCTGAACCTGGGCTATAGACCTCAGTTTTCCTTTTTGTAACTGATCATGGTTGTCTCACCTTCCAGGAACCCTGGAGAGTTCAATACACTAACGCAGCTAAGTGGACAGCATGTTGTAGGCACAGGCCTACAGTCCCAGGGCTTACGGAGACTAAGGCAGGAAGATACCGATGAGGCTGGTACTGGCTGCCTAAGAGCCTGTCTCAAAAACAAGTGATGTGTCAAATGTATATGAAAGAGGCCCTTTCCTCAAAGGACTGTCAACTAAAACACCCAGGGCAGGAAAGGTGCTTCAGAGGGTAAGAGTGCTGGCTGCTCCCCCAAAGGATATGACTTCAGTTCCCAGTGCTCACAGAACTGGGGCTCCTGGAGATCCAGGCAGGTAGTCCTAGCCTATAGGAAAGATAGCCATACTGGAACGGGAGCCAGTCAGCCAGCAGGCTAGCAAGCAGCCTTCCTCTACAGTGCCTGCTAAAGCTCCTGATTCAGTTCCTGCCCCAACTTCCCTCAGCAGCGAAGTGTGAGCAGCAATGAAGTGAACCTTATTCTACCTTAGAGACAGAAAAGAAACCAGAACTCCCAAGAAGTTCTAAAGGAGACTCGGGCGTTGGAGGGGCTGGAGGGATGGCTCAGTGGTTAAGGGCAACCTTGAGGACCAGGGTTCAATTCCAGCACCCATGTGACAGCTTACATCTGTCTGTGACTCCAATACAGTGGATCAGACACCTTCACACAGACATAGCTGCAGTCAAAACACCAAGGAACATAAGATAAAAATAAATTATGAAAAAAACTTAGAAGTTGAATCAGGTGTGATGGGATACACCCTTAATGCTAGCACTCAGGAGGCAAAGGCAGTGGATCTTTGAGTTCAAGACCACCCCTATTTCCACCATCTTGTGCTGGGCTCACAGGTATCCTTGTGAATAGAAGGCTCCCCACATTTCTGATCACAAGACACATTCCAGAGGACAGTTGTCAGCATGGCCCAAATACATGTGGATCCAGTCAGAGATCACAGTACTGTACAGTACGGCAGGCCACACTTTCTGTCCTCTGAGTCACTAACCAGACATGGAAAATAGGCCCAGGGCACAAGCGAAAGGCACGTGGAATTAGAAATTATAATTCCTCCCACACCCAGCTTGCACACTGCTAGCTCGCTCGCTTTCCTTCTTCCTTCCTTCCTTCCTTCCTTCCTTCCTTCCTTCCTTCCTTCCTTTCTTCCTTTCTCTCTTCCTTTCTTTGAGATAGGGCCTAGGGTAATCAAATGTCTCAGTTAAGGTTTCTGTTGCTGTGATAAAACACCATGATCAGAAGCGAGCTGGGGAGGAAAGGGTTTCTTCCACCTCACAACTCTCAGATTATATATTCCATCACTGAAGGAATTCGGGGCAGGAGCTCAAGGCAGAAACCTGGTGGCAGGAAGTGATGGAGGATCCATGGAGGAGTGCAGAGGGCTACTTCCTGCCTTGACCCTCATGTCTGGCTTAGTCTGTTTTCTTATACAACCCACAACCAACTGCTCAGTGTCAGAGCTGCGGAACCCTCCAGACTGATCGGATAGAGGTGTGTTATCAACTGAGAGCCCTCCTTCTTAAATAACTCTAGCTTCCGTCATGAAACTAGGCAGCACACCCAGGCTGGCCCAGAACTCAGTATGTAGCTCAGGATGGACTGCTGGTATCCTAGGTGTACACTATCATACCTGGCTAACTTAGTGCTGGAGATGGATCCCAGCGCCCAGTGGATGCTAGGCATGCCAGCCACAACTCTAGACCTTCTGTTTTTAGATTTTATTTTAATGTGTATGAGCGTTTTCCCTGTACAACTTGCAGTTTGGTTTTTCCCAGTCAGTGTGGCTGTTCTGAGTCTTCTGATCAGGACTTACTGCTTGTATATAGCCTTGGGGAAGGAGGGGCTTGCCCATCTGTTAGTGTAAGCTACGTGAGACCCTAACTCAGAAAAACAAAAAACAAACATACAAAGAACAAATCAGAGCTAGGTAGTGATGGCACAGGCCTTTAATCCCAGAAGCATTCTGGAGGCAGAGGTAGGCAGAGCGCTGAGTTCAAGACCAGCCTGGTCTACAGAGTGAGTTCCAGGACAGCCAGGGCGACACAGAGAAACCTTGTCTCGAAAAAAAAACAAAAACAAAAAACAACACACACACAAAACAACAACAAACAAACAAACAAATGAAACAAAGCCCCCCAAACAATAACAACAACAGCAGCAACAATAAATCAGGCTGACAAGTTTAGTAGGTAAAGGCATTTATTGTCAAGCCCGGCAACTTGAGTTCAATCACTTATCCCCACATAGTCAAGAAGACAGCCCATTCCTGCAAGCTGGCCTCGGGCCTCGACATGGGGACCTGGAACATACACACTCACATACAAATAACAACAACGACAACAGACCTGTGCTCTGTGGATTTTCTGAGGTTCATTTTTATTGTTTTTAATTGTGTAAATGAATGTGCACGTGTCCAAGTGCCCACAGGGGCTCTGGCCCGAGTTTGGAGTTCCAGGCGGTTCTGAGCCACCTGACGTGGTTATTGGGGACTGAACTGCAGTCTTTTGGAGGAGCAATGCATGATGCTAACCACTGAGCCACCTCTCCAGCTCCGAGTGCTTTGTGATTTACACAAGAAAGGGAGGAGAAGCCTGGGGGAAGAGGGGTGAACTTTGTCAAAGGGTGAGGGAGGGTCTTCTGGCTGCAGAAGGCGGGTGTGAGGGATGTGAGGAAGGTAGATACAGGAGTGCATGGCAGTCAGACGACTCCTGGGAAAGATCCGACACGAAATGTTACAAAGCACACAGACAGTAAACAGAACACATTCTGGACTGGCAAGATGGCTCAATGGGTCAAGCCCATGACCCAAAGCCTGAGGACCAGAGTTCAGTCCTGGGGTCCACTGTGTTAGTATTCTGTCTAAACTCTACCTCCACAGTTACCTGGCAACACCCAGGTATGCTCCGCCCCACAGTTACCTGGCAACAGCCAGGTAGGCCTGCCCACTATTAAAGGGGCTGCCTGCCCCCTTTTCTCTCTCTCCTACTTCTCTCTCTTGCCCCTTACTCCCGCGCCTGCAGGTTGCTTTCTCCTCTCCCCCCTTCCCTTCCCCCTCTCTCCACGTGGTCATGGCCGGCCTCTACTTCTCTGCTCGCTCTCTCTCTCTCTCTCTCTCTCTCTCTGCCTCTACTACCCTTCTGGCTCCCCTCCCCATGCTCTGAATAAACTCTATTCTATGCTATACCGTCCTGTGGCTGGTCCTTCAGATGGAAGGATGCCTCAGCATAGGCCGCTGAGACAGCCCCTTCCATCACTGGTTTCCATCCTTTCACACATGAAAGAAGGAGAGAAGTGACTTACAAATTGCCCTCTGAGTACACACATACATGCCTGGCACATGCCCACTTAGACAAACACACAGAGAAAACATGTAATAAAACATTTTTCTTGCATACGGTCTGGGGGCAGGAGAAGTGACTCAGCAGTTTTGAGCACTTGCTGCTGTCCGGGAGGTCCCATGCAGCAGCTCACAGCAATCTGATGCCTTCCGACCTCCACAGGCACCAGACACACACGTCTGTACACAAGACATTCATACACAAAAATAAATAAATCTTGCTGCAGGGGGTGGGGGTGGGGGTGACTGTGGTTATTTTTCAAGGCAGATGTCTCTGTGTAGCCCTGGCTGTCCTGGAACTTGTTCTGTAGACCAGGCTGGCCTCGAACTCAGAGATCCTCTGCCCCTGCCTCCTGAGTGCTAGACCTTAAGGCTTGTGCCAACACATTTGACTCGAAATAAACAAATTCGAAAAAGTTTCTAAAAGTTTGATTTATCACAGATCTGGGTAGGGCTCAGCAAAGAGGCTGCTCTGCATGTGTGTGGTTAGGGTCCATCCCCTGAACTACAAAGTAAATATACTTTTTTCAATAATTTATTTATTTTTATTCACTTTACATCAGGATGGCACCCCCCTCCCTCCTCCCCTCCCAGTACCACTCTTATAAAGTATACTCTCCATGACTGCCATACACTGGGCTTTCGGTTTCTTGATCAAATGGATGGATTGCCTGGTTGACTGAGACAGGATGGCATGGAACTCCTGATTCCTCTGCCCTGACCTGCTGAGGATGGATGGACGATACAGGTATGAGCCACCACAGTAGAGTCTTGCTGAGTTTTAAATGCTGTTTTTCAATGAGAAAAACTGAGGACCTAGGAGAACTGGATTCCAGGCAGATTAGGCAGGACCCACCTTCAGGCTCACAGATGCTAACATCCTATTGTGCCAGAAAGGTTAAAGGAATTCCCTCCAGTGCTCCTTTTAAAGCTGTTTTCTCCCTGCTGCCCTGTTCCCTTCTGGGCAGCCCCTCCCACAGGGCTGCTTTCCCTTTCCACTTACATTGTGGATGAATATTCTTCTACAGCTCTAAATCTGATCCCTCTCCCTCCGAGACATCTCTCTCTTCTTCCTTTCTCC